AGAGTAGGTGACATTTGGAGAAATGTTTCTACATTTGAAAATGAATTGTACATTTCCAGTTTAATGAAATAGATTTCTTTCTTTTAGAAATATTATGAAACACAAACATTTGATAGAGCTAGTCAGTCTTCTTGTAACAGTTCCAGGCAGGTTATTCAGTTTTTGCAGGTTTTTCTGAAATAGTAAATGATGGTTTTAAGATTAAACTAGATTTTCTGTTGACATATTCTTTTTACTTGTTTTTCAAGTGCAAGGCAATGTTTAGCTTGATGGTGTCTGGAATATACTGAAATAAAACAGCAGGTATGATAAACTGTAGGCACTTCTGATATTGGCACTCCACACCCACTATTGGAGAAATGGAGAAGGAAGCATATTAGTTGTATCAGCTACCAAGTATGTTGGAAACAACAAATGTTGGTGTAAAAAGATTCCCTTCACACAGTCATCCTCTGTTGATAGAGAAATACTTCAATTGATGTGGCAATGTACAGTGCATAGAAGCCTTTCCTTTATCTAGGGATTCTTCATTACTGCCATCATCATTTGCAGGTTGATGTGAAATGGCTGAGCCTGTGTTTTGCATGTCAGCAGGATGCTGGCTTAGATGTAATGAGAGGGTCTAAGCAGGTCAAGAAGGATTATAGTGCATGTTAGGTCATATTGACCAGAGCCATTACTCACTGCTGGACAACTCAGGAAGGCAAAGTAGTCAGATCAGAGAGGATTTGTGTTTACCTATACATGTTTGTGGATATGGTCACTTCCACCCAGACATGATTATCTGTGTGTTTGCACACCTGTGTGATTATGTGTTGCTTGTCATTCACAGGCAGTAGTGTGTAGGCAAGGGAAACCAATGGCTGAGCCAGTAACATCACGCTCATCCTTCACTCCTGCAGTGGTGACTCGGAGAATAAATCTGTTATTTAAAAGCCTCTTGTTGTTCACCCTCTGCCTCTGCCCTGTCGATAAGCATGAGATTACGCTGATGGACCTCACCTATCCCTTCTATTTTAAGTTGCCATCTTTGCTTTGCCACCAGCACCACATTGCACTAATGTGATGAGGTCATGCAGTACACTTGTGTTTTGACTGCTCATAACTGTTATTGACTGGGGTATGTGAAAGTGGTCATTAATGCAAGTTTCTCTTTTATAAATCATTTAAAACGCTTTCAGTGTGGAGAGGTAAAAGCATAGCCTGCACAGCGCAAAGCATTTTGTGTGTATGTCAAACGAAGCTTGTGCTCGTGTCTTTACTGGGCATTGGAAGTGCTTGGTACACAAACACAGAGGAGCTTACAGAAACACCTTGAAGAAGGGGAAACCAAAACAAATAGTACACAATGAGGGAATTACTGGCTACACATGAAATTCCTGTATATGTAGAGTGTAACCAAACCCGCTGTAAAACGGCAAATACAAACTACACACACTTCAAAAAGAACTGTGTGCTCAGTGGGACTGTTGTTAACAGACATTCTTCTGTTTCTGTTGCTTGTTGCATCTGTTTATATTTGGAGAAGTACAAATGTTGCACTTCATTTTTAGTTGGATTGTAAAAAAAAAAAAGGGGGGGGGGGGAATGTAAAACTTGAATGTTTTATTTTTATTACAATTTCGTTTTTCATTAAAGAAAAGTTACAAAATTGTCGGTTACAGTTCTTAGAACAAAAGAAAATTGGAATTGGCAGGTTAGACTTGAAAAACATCAGAATATGGCCAAGAAAATTGCGATCTCTAGTCTGAACTTATGTTTTCTTAGTCTGCTCTGGGCCTTTGACTTTCAGTAGCCCTTTTGAATCAGCAGATTGATTGGCCTCTGTGTTTATTGAGTCCCGTTAAACCTTTCAGGCCCAGAAGAATATTGCAGTCCTGCAAAATCAATAAACCTATCTCTTAAATTAGCTTAATGATGACTGTGTGGAGCCCTTCTTAATCCTCTGCCTGGACATCGGTGATGTCACAGTGCTCCTTTCTAAGCCCAGTCACATTATTGATGCGCTCTGGGTTGCACTTGAAAGCCTGCAAACTGTCCCATAACTTTATTTGTTAACGGCACGAGCTTCTTCCAAAATGGGTTTGCTTTTGTCTTGTGTTCATTTGGGCACAATGCTTTTCTTTTTTTGATGTCCCACCTCTTCAGCAATGCAAGTTTCTGGTAAGGTAAATACAGTGTGCACTCATATTCTTATGCAGAACAACAGAGGTAATATGTTTAATTGTACACTAGACAAGATGAGATGAAGATAGATGTCAGCTCAACTTGAAAATTGATTTAGTGAAAGAACCACAGAAAAAACGCTCATCCCTCACTGGCGTCATACTTCCTTAATGCTGTCTGCACGCATCAACAATGAGATTGACCAACTGATGAACCAGATGCAGCAGATTGAAACACAACAGAGGAAGTTCAAGGCATCCAGAGATAGTATTCTGTCAGAGATGAAGATGCTGAAGGAGAAGAGGCAGCAGTCTGAGAAGACGTTCATGCCTAAGGTGGGCATGCACTGAATTTGTCTCAGCATCATAATTTGAACTCGTATACAAGCCCCCAGGAGTCATGGTCATTAAGACCTGATTGGATTGAAAATTCTTTGTTTTGCATGATCTAAGCTGCGGGTGCAACCTGTTTCCACTTCACATGCAATATTTACTATCCACTGATGTCTGTCTTTTCTCCCTCTGCTTCCTCCCAGCAACGCAGTCTCCAAAGTCTGGAAGCCAGCCTTCATGCCATGGAGTCCACTAGGGAGTCTCTGAGGGCTGAGCTGGGTACAGATCTGCTCTCTCAACTCAGCCTGGAGGACCAGAGGCGTGTAGATGACCTCAATGATGAGATCCGTCAGCTCCAGCAGGTTAGGAGCAGGAGGGGACAGATATGTGCTCTAGCAGTTTCTCACATCATGAAACAACTGACTGGGGATTTCTGTCCCCAGTAAAGATGTCTCTTTTTGTTTTTTGTTTTAGTTTTGTGGCAACGTGTTTCAGTACCACAAACTACTTTCCATTGAATTCCCTAGAGCAGCAATTTAAAACCAATCTCAAAAAGGCTGCCTGTGAGTAGCATTAGACGGAGGAGGCTGCTGCTTGCATAGTTTATAAATGTAAGATTTTGGTAAAATCAAGTTATTAATTTAGATTTGAAGATTTAGGTGACTAAACTATGATATTTGAGTTTTAGGACTCTGTTCCGTGGGGCAACAATAAGCCCCAATTTTCAGTTTTTTCACCATGATGTGGTGTGTGGACTAGGAGGAGGAACCTGTCATCTGTTTGTTCTCCTTTCACACAGTGTTTCAGACCCCCCCCGGTTGGACCAGAATCCTTTGTAGAAATAATTAGTTAAGCTGAAATAGCTGGAACATGCACCACCCTCCAAATGGTCACATGTAGTTCAGAGAATATGCCTGTTACCTGCATTTTGTTGTTTGTTTTCTCTCCTCCACCTCCCAGTGTATTCAAATAATCTGACTAAGGTGAGAGCAGCAGGCAGCAGCTGTGTGTGGGATGTTCCCGTGATCTAGTGTTGCACCCTCTTTCACTTCCAGCTGCTCTCAGCTCTCACCTCAATGAACTCTCAGCCATTCTCGCTATCATTACACAACAACTCCACCCCCACAGCATGAAGCCTTTTATGTAGAGTTCTGCAGCATTGTAGTTATCGAATTATGTTGTACACTTGGTTTGGTATTCATGAGTTTTGTTAGTTATGTGGCATATTTCTGGACATAATTGAATACACACACAGGGTGGTAGTGTGCCATTTTTGACTGTACAGTGACGAGTGGTATATGTAGTTTAGAGATAACTGCAGATGTAACAGGCATTAATTAGAAACTACTTCAGTTTTAGTAATACTTTTGTTCTGTGTAGAGTGAAAAGTGGATATTGTTGTCACATCAGGGCACCTCCAGTTAAGTTGCCTATGGTGGATTTAATTAAATTGGCTTTTTAGATATACAGCAGCTTTAGAAAGTATTTAGACCCCTTCACTTTTTTCACACTTTGTGTTGTAGATTTAATTTTAAATGGCGGTAAAAATGTCAGTTAATCCAGGATCTATGCCACACCACTGTTTTATCTCGGACATTTACTTAGTTACTTGGACTTCTTGACTTGCTTTGTGCCCTGACCACAATTTAGACCGTCACTTCCCGAGTCTGAATACTTTTGTAAATAATACATATACGTTTTTAATTTTTAATAAATTTGTAGGCATTTCTCGCATTTTCACGTTGCTTCCCTGTGCAACAGATTAGTTCAATCTGAGAAAGAGACCCAGAAAAACTGTTGAGCACTTTTACATATTGAGTTGCTGAGAGTGTACTAAAGGCTTGTTTGTCTACACTTGACAGGACTAACCTTTTTTGTGTTGGGTTGATCCCTTTACCCTCCTACAGGACAATAGACAGTTACTGAATGAGAGAATTAAGCTGGAGGGCATTATGACCAGAGTGGAAACGTATCTCAATGAGAACTTACGGAAGCGTTACGACCAAGTGGAGCAGGTACGCCATCCTTTGAAACTCCCTGGAAAAGTCTCATAATAACAGCTCTGCATGCAGAATATTATTTTTTTTTTATCACATAATGTTACATTTATCTTTAACTGCTATGTTGTTCTTTTTCTAATTGTTAGTGAAATATACATCATCACTTGCATTAACATGCAAATAATTTTTTTTCATTTGCAACTGTTAGAGGATTTAATTAATGTAATGTGTTGAAATTATGTGCTCTTGTAAATGGGTTGAGTTTTTGATTTTGACTTTGATTTATGCAAGTCAGAAGAGGGGTGACTGAATTTTCATGACCTTCTTTTTGATGTGACCTAATTTGCATTGATACAGGAGCTAAATGAGCTGCGAGAGACTGAGGGAGGCACAGTGCTCACAGCCACAACATCAGAGCTAGATGGCATCAACAAACGTGTCAAAGAAACCTTGGCTCGATCAGAAGGTACGCAGTGTCCTAAAGACACATCTGAGTGCAGACAGTGGCCTGGATTTTATAGAAGCCTGCTTGTGACCAGAAGGTGAACTATTAGCATCAGCACAAACTGAGAAGCATTTCCCCTTAGGGACCCTTAAACTAAATATATGTCCCGGTCCTTCCAGCAACACTGTTCCAGCAGCATAGCTTTATTATGGGTGATGGTTCCCAGTGGAAATTGAATGCCTTGATTAAATGTGAATATGCATCTTCAGGACATAAAGTTGAATTGAGAAAAAAAATTAACAGCTGAAAAAAAAAAAGAGTTCACAGGCAGCAAACATATTTGGAGTTGTTTTCAGCTTGCTTTGTCAAATCAGTACTCTTAACTTGGGTGAGCACAGTGACATAACCAAAACACTGCCTGTCCATTTAAAATGTGTTTGAGTGTTTGTGATTTTTATTTATTTATTTTTTTATTATTTCAAGGTCTAGTGGATGTTTTATTAGACAGTGTAGTTTTACACGAGACAGACATTTATAAATATAACTAAATGTGATGCTTCACCACAATGTGTTGGAGTGGCAACTGGAAACTGCAGCTATAGTTGTTGTGATCACAGTTAATAAAAACACTAGAACAATCTGTGAACCACCTTTGAGGGCCAGCACCATAATGTGGCAAGGAAAAAAATAAAACAAAGCATGTTAGAAACAGCTTCTAAATGGAGATGTATAAAAGTATAGTTATACAATCTTAAATGCAGTACCATATTGTAGCCATATTGCTGGGTATCTTTTCAAGCAACAAACAAAACAGTGTTGTCTTTATCTGGTATCTCTAACCTTCATTAATTTATTATGTATCGGAGCCAATTTGCTGCCACATGTGAATCTAAATTGAGAAACTGTAGCCCACCCTTATTGTGTTGGCACTGTCAGCAAATGGCGAGAATTGCTGTAATATGCTTGGCTCACAATTTGAATGTGTTCTTCCAAAGTTGGCCTGGTCACACTGTTGTATAAATGTTCTTGCGCTGCCAATTGAAACGGGGTTGATAGAGAGCAGTTATCAGACAGCACTTGTTCCTGAATAGAATTAATTGCATGCATTCATTTTTAAACACTGTCACAGACTTATTAAAGACATTCACAGGACTGCCTTATTCTTAAGGAGTTGTTATATTCAGTTCTTTTTTTTTCTAAAGTTTTTGCATGTCAATTTGGCATTTATGATTCAGAGAATAATCTAAATCTCTTGTCTCTCTTCATAAAGTGAGAGATGTGTGAGAGAGACTGAAGAGCACTAATGTGGGTTCTGATCTGAGGTGCTGTTAATTAATGGTTTCCGAGGGTGGCAACTTTAATGAGTTGTGCAGCGGAGGTCACTCTTGGTCTTCTTTTCTGGGGGCGGTCCTACCGAGAACCAGTTTCATCACAGCATTTCATGGCTTTTCAACTGCGCTTGTAGAAACTTTGGAAGTTCTTGAGACTTTCCAAACTGACTGACCTTCATTTGTTAAAGTAATGGACTGTCGGTTCTTGCCATATTATGGTTTACTACAGTAGGGCTGGTTTCTTTATTCCAACACAACTGATGGTCTCAAACACATAAACAAGAAATTATGCAAAAAATTACTTTTGACAAGACACACTAGTTAATCAAAAACCGCTCCAGGTGACAACCTCATGAAGCAGTAGACTGCTAGTAATGTGCAAAGCTGCCATCAAGCCAAACAGTGGCTTTGAGGAATCAAAAATATGAAACATATTATGCTCTATTCAGCTATTTTTGTTTATCTTATAATACCATATGCGTTATTTAATAGTTTTGTGACTGTCTTTCCCAGATCTGGATGCCCTAATTGATAAGACAGAGGCAGAGATCAAGGACCACATAAAGAGCATGGAGCGCTGGAAGATCATAGAGAAAGAGCAGAATGACGCCATCAACCATGACACCAAGGAGCTGGAGAAAATGACCAATAGACAGGGCATGCTGCTCAAGAAGAAAGAGGAGTGCATGAAGAAGATCAGAGAGCTGGGCTCACTGCCTCAGGAGGCCTTTGAGAAGTACCAGACCCTCACGCTCAAACAGGTACACTGGTATATGCTTAATGATGAGACTTGTTGCCTTCTGGCTTTTAGGTTTCAGTTCTTTGGCAGCCAGCAGCAGCATCATTCAGAGGTACAGTGTTACAGTGTCATTGTTTAATATGGATTTTCTTTTTGTTCTTGCTGGCTGTCCACCTGCTCCTGAGAGAAATGGCTTGGTCTTTAGCTGCTGAGACAGCTTGTCTCTATCTTTGTCTGCCATTTGTTGCTGGGCAGGTAGCAAACATTGATCATCAGGGATGTTTTTGTTTTTGTTTTTTTCTTCAGAAACAACTGCATGTACAAGGTTGAATGATATTAAAGGGAGCACTGGGGATTAAAAAAACCTATTAAATCAGAACAATGAGCCAAGGGATTCTGTAACACTGTAGAACTGAGAGGACTTGCAGAGGGTAATAATTCCCTGTGGGATTGTCACATTCACACATACTGTAGTTCTTTGAGCAGTTGTTGGTACAAAAAGGATTAGTGCAGCTTTGAGGTGTTTTGAAGGAAAATTATTATGGTGCCAGAAATTAGGACCGGTTTGTTTCCATGTTGTAGTCATATATCTTTTAGCACAGCATCATGACCTTAAATAAATTGATTGAATTTAGTTTGACATTAGGGCTGCACAATAAATCATTTTGTGAGTGTCATTTAGATCTCAATGTAGTCTGTTTCACGTGGCAATGACTCTAAGTGCTCCCTTTTCCTTGCTAAGTTGTAACTAATAACCGCAAAGTGATTTATTTCTGCCTAAACTGCCATTCAGCACTAGGTGTACAGGGCAGGCAGCATGATGTTTGACAAATAGTTGCAGGAGGGTACAGAATATCTTTTACCATGTCAGACACATTGGATTTGGTTTTGAATTGGTCTGTTTTCCTGTCTACAGCTCGTCACGTGATGTAACACATTCCTGCAATTGGTTAACGCAGCCTAGGAAAGAGAAGGGAGCACTTGGTTTGATCTTAAACATCTTCCTGCCAATGCAAACACAGCAGAATCATTGTCAAATGAGACCAAGATCTCACAGCAATCTAAATCACAAAATGATTAATTGTGCAGCACTGATTAACTAAATAAAGACACAAAAGCAACAGCTCTAACAATTACTAAGTTGATCTACGGAAGGCCAACTTCTATGTTACCTGAGTCACACTTTGATAGACCCAGGTCTCTAAAGAATTAAGGCCAGAGGCTGTCACATCCTACCCACTCAGTAGTGACTCAAGCAGTTGTTAGTGCTCTGTCTCTGATTTTCTTTTTAGTCATCTCTGCCTCTGGGAGCACTGACTGTCAGTTAAGTGAACTTGGCTGCATCTTTCATAAGTGTCTGATCATGTACTCCCTCTTTCTGTGTGTGTGTGTGTGTGTGTGTGTGAGTGATCATGTGTCATCTCTTATCCTTGACAATGCTCAAAAATAGCCTCACACTTTTTGAAATGCTCCATGGGACGCAGCTCAGGGGCAAGATGATGCCACTGATTGTAGAAGTGGATCAGAGAGCCAAGTAGTAATGGTACTTGTTCATGTTCCCTTGGTCATTAGTGATTAAGATGGATGAATTTCTAGTTTAAGGGTTTGGTTTGGTGAGTGCAAGTTGTTTCTGAGGCAGACTAAGCTAGTGCTTAATTAATCAGGTCATATCATCTTTAGATTTGATTAGAATCTGGTACAGCACTTCTTTATGTGTGTATATGTATCCCCGTTTTAGTTGGAAAGTAGTATCGATAAACACTTTTAATACTAGTAGTTTAGGAATTCTGTGGCACTGCATTTGTCAAGATGATACATAGGGTTGTAAGCAGAATTTTGCTTGTTTATTATATTTTGGTTGGGAAAAAAATCTCTGCAAAATATCCTAAAAGCTTGTAGGGATGTGACTAATAATTTGAATTGTAGATTAATCTGGTGACTACTCTCGAATCATCTGTTATTATTAAGGGTGATTTTAAGTTTAAGAACAAGCAAGCATTTTAATACATTAAATCTCTAAATGTGTCAAATCAAATTTTATTTGTATAGC